GCTGCAGTCCCCCCCCCGCCACGCCACCAGCCTGCCCCCTCCCCGTCAGCACTGCCAGGCACTCACTAATATTCCTCCAGTGCCACCGCCAGCGCATCCCACAGCTTCAACGTGGGCTCAGGGATAACATGTGCCAGGGCTTCCCAGTACTCCCCGTCCTCGGAGCTGTCCCGAACCTGTAGCACCTCCTTTGCTGATCCTTCCTTCTCCCTGGGGGACAGAGAACAAAGCCCAGGGGCTCAGGTCTTTATGGGTGCTCAGCTGCACTGAGCACCATCGCCATTGTCACACGAATGAGCAGGACCCCACAGCTGGCACCCACCTGCCCCACGGCTTTGCTGGTCATCTTGTCCCCAGCCATCCCTCACTCAGGGACTGTCTGCACCCCCTTGCCCCCACGGGACCCTCCCCACCCCTCTGTGATCTTGCAGTACAGGCAGGGGAGGCTCTTGCTCCAGCCAGGGCTCCAGAGTCACCCCCAGGCCTGCCTGCACACCCCCATACCCCCCTCTGTGCCCCAGGCTGGCTCCCTCCTGGTTACAACGACCCCGCTCTGCCCCTCATCCTACCTCAGCTTGTCAAAATCCTGCACAAACGCTTTCAGGATCTTGAGGACATCATCAGCGTGGATGTACACAGATGGAAGGGAGCCCAGCAAGCTCCGAGGAGATTTGAGCTCGTCCCTCTGGGCACCAGATCCACAGTCCTCTCTGTCCTCAGCCAGATCCGTGACATCTTCTCCACCTGGGCTGCCCTGGCTCTGGAGGGAAGGCCAGCAAGCTAGGCACTGCGCCTTCCACCACTTCCTCCTCCCCAAGAGCCACCTTGCCCCTGGGAGCCACCCGCACAACCTTGTCCCTTGGCAAATTTAGGGAGCTCAAGCAAAAATTCCTGTGCAAGGGGCCCTGTTCAGCCACAGCAGAAGGTTACAACCCTTCAGCCCTGGCATGTTCACCTCCCTTGTCCGGTCACAGGGAGACATTTCAGGGTCACCATGCTGGTCCCCCTCTCTGCCTTCCCTGGGTGTTCAGGAGATGTTCTGCTCCCCCTTTCCTGAACCCCTGCCTCTCTGCCTCTGCTGGGCTCTCCCCACTGCTGACGGTGGTGGTCCCACCTGGCTGACAGCCACCTCCTGGGCTTTGTACTTCAGGAAAAAGTCCACCAGCTGGTACAGATCATCCTCAGTGCCGATCTCGAGGGCCTGGGGAACAGAGGAACCAGGTTAGCGTCCCTCAGAGACATCGCGGGAGGGGAAGCAAAATGAAGAGCGTTTGCCAGGAGCAGAGGGTGCCCCTCTGGCAACACCACGCAAGGCAGGAGGGGGTGGTAAGAAGTGGTTAGTGTGGGACAGCCAGGGGAATCTGGGAGTCTGAGAACAGGCTGGAGGGGCCCTGGAGATGACGATTAATTCATCAACTGGACAGCCTTGAGCTGAGAAGCACCTGGCCATGGTGCTTCACCCCCTCTCACAGCGCTCCTCTCCCCTTGCTGCCCCAGAGTCCCCCCAGCAGCCCAGCCCTCCCTGGGGCGGCTCAGCCCTACGGCACGCAGTCACGGGGCAGACAGCTTTCCCTGGTGACCACCAGCCTTCCCTGGCAGCCCCTGACGGGCCAAGCCACAACTCACCGCAAAGATGGAGTCGAGCTTCATGAGGGTGCGCTCGTGCCTCCCCAGCGCCTGCAGGGGCTTCAGCAGCTTGCTCTCAATGAGGAAACCCTTGGGAGACAGGTAGAGAAGAGGGTGCAGAGAAATAGTGAGCGTCTCCGTCCCAGCCCAGAAGCCAGCCCACGCCGTGCAGCGGCCATGCCATCCTGCGACGGCAGGCTGAGCGGGGAGGGTGGGCAGCGGCTGGGCAGCGTGGGGCTGCAGGAGGCTCTGGAATAGCCACCCAGCAGACAGGGAAGATAAGAGTTATCAGCACGGTGATGCCAAAAGGACCTCGTGATCTGAAGCTCTTGCTGGCTGTCCCCAGCGACAGGGAACAGCCCGCAGCATCAGATGGCAGCAGGTTTGCCTGAGCTTATTCTGGCCTGGGGAGCTGTGGATTTGGGCAACGCGGCTGTGCCTGCCCATACCTCTACTTAGCATCATATTTGTGCCACGCACAGCAGAAAGACCTGGAGAATCTCTTCTGGCCCCTGGGGCAGCTCTCTGACACCAGGCTGCTGGTATAGGAAGGCAGTGCCATGCAGAAACCTTCACCCCAAGGCATGGAGCTCAGAAGAGATCCCCTGTAGGTGACTCGTTGGGGGCTGATGTGGAGCTGTTTAATACAGCAGTACACTAGAGGTCATGAAAAGGACAAGCCAAGGACAGAGTGATAAACAAGCCAGCAAAGGGGAATCCACAGCTGATACAATAAAGCGATTCCACTTGCACACTTACTCTGGAGTCCGTGCCTTCGTTCCCTCAAATGGTGACCCCGACGTGATCGGAGAGGCAACGCTGCACGCGCGTCCGGAGGGAACCCAACCGAACGAGGCAAGCCTGCAGCAGGACTGCGGCTTCGCAGCGGCAATTTTGATCCCGGGACATCACCTGACAGGACAGGTGAGCGGTTGGGCATTTAAGATGGGAGCCAATATTTCGGCAGAAGAAGAAGCAATTTTAAAAATGCTAACACAGTTATTGGTAAAAAGGGGAGTGAAATATGATTCTTTTAAAGTTGTTACTGAAGTTTATGCAGAAGCAAGGCGTTCCCGCGGAGATTTCTGCGGCATTTGATGTAAAAACCTGGGAGAAAGCTGGGGAAAGGGTATGGGAGGCAGCATCCAGAAGGGAGGCTAACGCTGCGGAGGTGATGACTACATGGCGCCTAGTAACTGAGACTTTAAAAGCGTGGCAGGCGGAAAAGAAAGTAGAGCTTGCCACCGCTCAGGTGGTAATAGCTGCAGAGCGGTCAGAACCGGAGCCAGAAAAGCCACCAGAACAGGGCAATTTGATAGACCTGAGCAATGATCAAAAGGGAGCCTGTGAGCCTCTGCCGTTAAGTCCTGCTCCGTGGACCCCCTCTGCACCCGTCCTGTCTTCCCACGATGATGCCTCCCTGGGAGCTCGCGTATTTGACCCACGAGAGCGATGGGACCAGATGCGCCGAGAAGCATTGAAAGAAGGGGACCCCTCAGATGTGCCGAGAAGCATTGAAAGAAGGGGACCCCTTGGGGATGGTTTTTCTGGTGCAAGTACGACCTAACGGTTCAAATGAGTATTCCCCATTTCAATGGGACTTGATTAAAGAATTAAGAAAGACGGTTACTACACATGGACTGCACGCACCCTGTACTCAATCGTTGTTAGAAAATGTTGTGACCGGTCAGCTCTTGGTGCCGAATGATTGTCGACAGAGAGCCGCGATGGTTTTAACACCCATGCAAAAATTGCTGTGGGAGCAAAAATGGAAAGAGAGCTGTGAAGCGGTTGCCTTGGCTAGTTTAGAAAGACAACCCGGTGATCCGCTTCATGCAGTCGGACTGCCCCACCTAATGGGGACGGATCAATTTACAAATCCAAGATTGCAAGCCAGGCTCAATGATGCCATCTTGCGACAGTCTGCAGCACTGGCCCTCCAGGCCATGCTAAAATTACCTGAGGTTGGGAGGATTGAGCCGTCATTGACCAACATTAAACAACAAGTCAGCGAGCCTTATATGCAGTTTATTGATAGGCTGCGAGATGCTTTAGATAAACAACTTGATAATCGGGAAGCGAAGGAGGCTCTGATACTAAAATTGGCGGTGGAAAATGCAAACACAGACTGTAAAAAGATATTACAATCATTGCCTGTCAATACCACGTTGGTGCAAATGATAGAAGCGTGTAATCGTGTCGGGGCCATAGACCATCACACCGCGGCACTGGCCGGGGCTTTTGGCGGGGCAGT